AAAAAAAAAAAAAAAAAAAAAAAAAACCTTCATACCACCAAGCAGAGTAAGAGGTGAGTAGAGATTCCATCTATTTTTGGTTCTTCATAGAGATCTTATGTGAATAAATATTTTTTTCAATATATAGTTTTATTTTGAAATCCAAATCTTCAGAAAAGTTGCCCGTACTATCCTGTACAAAGAATTTTTTTGTCCTGAACCATCTGAGGTTAAGTTGTGGCCAGGACACCTGCCGCCCACAAACACTTCCATAAGCATACTGACTAGCAAGGACATTCTCCTGCAAAATCTCACCACACTCAAGTCAGGGCATTGCACTGATACGGCATCACCTCCTACCTCAGAGCCCACCCTGCTTTGCCTGTAACGCCCTTTGTAGGTAGAAGGGCCAACCCAGGGTCACACATGTGGCCCTCGGTTGTCATGTCTCTCTAATCTCCTCCACTCAGAAACAGGTAAGACCTTGACGCATAAAGCCAGGCATTTTGCCGCATGTGCCTCAGTTTGCGTGTGTCCGATACTTCTTGTAACTGGATGCAGGTTGTGCATTTGGGAAAGAATATCACAAAGGTCTCCGTGCCTTCGACCAGGGCTTGGCTATTTCTGTGTGTCCCCTTCCAGGAGATGCTGGGTTTGACCACTGGGGCAAGGTGTCCTAGCTTCTCCCTGTAATGCTGTTGTTTCTCTCTTTGTAAGAGCATTTTATGGAAAGACATTCTGAGACAATGTGATTACACAATTCCTTATCAAATTTACACCCTTGGTCATGTTTTCTGGCTGAATTAATTATTACTATCATGTTTGGCATTACATTTATTATACATTTATTATTAGCATTATATTGTAAGGAAAACTTTCTTCCTCCCCATCTGTATTTATTTGTTTTTTTTTAGCACGGTTTATTATTTTATTATACATTTTATTTAAAAAATCCAAGCACACACATACCCCCCCACCATCATTAGGGAGGGGGCTCACATCTTAATGTAGATCTGGCCATATTCTATAGTAGGCTGTATTATTTCTTTATATAACCTTAAGACACCTGTATCTTTTCAAATATTTATATCCCAACTACAAAAATGGAGCTGAAAGGGTGTATAAAGATAAATGAGATTTTCTTGTTGTTCTTATAGTACAAATTCACAAGATAACTAAGGAGCTATGAGAGTAAGGGGGGAAATTATCTCAGTGAAGAATGGATATGTCTATGGTACCTGCAACAGGCAGCTGAATTACTGGTTTTCATTGGCTACGTTGTTCCTGGCATGCTTGATTTCCAGTTCAGACATTTCAATTAGATTCTTTCTAAATGGTGCCACTCTCTTTCGTTTGAAATTGATTAGTTTACCTACCCTAAAATAACTCATTTGCAGGGACATTGACACATGAAACAGTGAGACAGCATGTGCCAGGCAACTGTCTATTTGTTTCCAAAAGGCACATGTTTCCCTCACCCTTTCTTAAAAAAAAGTCAAGTTACAGGAGAACCCAGTATTAAAATTCTACCCACTTTGAGGTATTAAATACATAAGGAAAAGATTAGTTATGTCCAAGTAGCATGCAATAAAATATTTTTAAACCAACATGGTTAAGTGTTAAGATTTTTAGAAATCAAAATTATTTATTCACATCATCTTAAAAATGTCCAAGTAGCATGCAATAAAATATTTTTAAACCAACATGGTTAAGTGTTAAGATTTTTAGAAATCAAAATTATTTATTCACATCATCTTAAACTGAAGTCAAGGGTAATAAGTCTTCTGTGGTAATGATTTAAGTGCAAGTACACTGGCTTTCCCATCATGTCCTTCATTGAGAGAACAGGCTGATCAGTTGCTCTTGAACAAGTCAACGTAGCTCTGCAGCCGGGAGACGTTGTTCCTGGCATGCTTGATTTCCAGTTCAGACATTTCAATTAGATTCTTTCTAAATGCTGCCACTCTCTTTCGTTTGAAATTGATTAGTTCTTCTTTTGCAGATTCAGAAAGCTGTTCAAACTTCTGGCAGCATTCCTGCTATTGCGCCTCAGTCACCTTGACATCCCTGCTTTTCAACCGGGCCTTATCCAGGGCTTTGTTTGAGTTCTCATAGTCTGTGAGTGCTTTGGTGCGTCTGTATAAGAGATCCTTAGCAGCCTCTATGTTGAGCATGTAGTATCGGAGGAGCTCTGTCAGCTTTAAATCTTCATCTGAGGAGACACGACTCTACTTTCCTAAGTTTTTCAAACAGTTCAGCAACCTTCAATAGGTACTTTTTGATGACCGTAGGCTCCTCTAAAGCCAGGCTGTGCAAGCAGGCTGCAGTGTGGATGTAGTTAACAGTGACACTTTTATGGGACCGGGTCATTTTGTCAGCTTTCCCACACGAATCCTTGATCCTATTATAATAGTTAATGAGGAAATTCCTCTCTTGCTCAAAGAAGTCATCTACCTCCTTAACTCCAGAAAAAAGGACTTCATTAGCACTTTTCACTACACTTTTGAAAAAAGCCACCAAACATCTCGTTGGTATTTTTCCTCCTAACACTTAGATCCTGGTCATACTCGAGGAAAACATGAAAGTTGTGATCTTTACTGAGAACAGGGTGGGAAGAAAGCCGCTGAAGGAAGACTTCATGGGAGGACACGGTCTTCTTAGAGGCAGCAAGATACTCAGCTTCCAGCTCTTGCTTCATCTTAGCAAATTCTTCTTTGGGCATAGACCCTTCACCCTCTCCCAGTTTCTGCATCTTCTCTCGAGGTCCATCAAAGTCAGGCTTTGTAGGAGCAGGTGGAATAATAAGCCCAGCATAGTCTATATTTTCAATAAGAGTGGCATGTAGCCACACAGAGGCTTCATATTGCCGTGTAACAGAAAACTCCGGGCTCTGAAATGTGGGCAATGTGGTCTTGGTGTGCACTGTAAATTTGACTTTCTCTCTCTCACTGAATGCATCAGGTATGTGAATCTGAAGCGAGGGATCAACATTCAGGTCCACAGATACAGATCTCAGCACCATAGAAAGGCACACACTGATCTCGGAGTGGTAACCTCAGCACCATGCACAGTTCTTTAAATGGTTATTTCAGCAAATGGGAAGCCTGGAGATCCTTGCTGCGGTCTTCCTCCTGCTGCAGCAGCAACTCGGGAACCGCGGCCGTGGCGACTCGGGCCTTGAGCGAAGCCCTCTGGCTGTGCGAGGAAAGAAGCTGGGCCGCCGCCGGGGTGCCTCTCAGGCGTGGCTTCGGCGCCGCCTCCACCAACCTCCCTGCCCGAAGGCTGCAGGAGGCCTCAGGACTCTGCCACCATCCCAGCTGCCCCGGGAAAGCTGTATTTATTTGTTTTTGTGTTTACATCTGTATGGAATCACAGCTATTTTATTTAAAAGCTTATGAGCCTTTATTACCATTATTTATTTTGACATTCAAATCACTCCTGACTTAGCCAGCAGAAGCCCCTTCAGCTTGCTTCTGTGTCCTTTGCTCCATCCCCAGTTTTCCTTAAGCATTTTCTTACACTCTGCAAGAGAACATTCCTGGCTCACCTTATATTTGTCCTGCCTCAGCTCCAGAATCAACCGTTTCTCCCAGAAGCCCCGATTCTTTCTGGTGGAGAATGGCATCTTAACCCTGAGCATTTTCTCAGATTCAGTCCGATCATGTTGCTGGCTCGTGTCTCTGGGTGTTGATGCGAGCTCATATTTGATTGAACTGACTCTGAACCCTAAAATCCTCAGAGTTAAATGGGTTACTTTGCAACACAGAGGGCTCCTATTTGCTTCTGCAGGGGAACTATGGAGCTGGATTCGAGTGGCTCCCCCAGAGCTGCAGTTCAGGTCCCTGGCCCGCAGTGTGGCCCTTCTCTGCAGCACCCATCTCAGGATTTCTCCAAATCTGCATCTGCTCAGCCGCTCTGCCCAGGTTTCTGCTCACTCGCCCCCCTGCCTCTCCTTGTCCTCTTTCTTGTGCTGGCAACCTCCCTTGCTGTCTTGGCCTCGCACGTGTTCTCCAGCGAGAGAGTCTTTCGGGGATCTAGAACCCTGAGGTGTCAGAAGCTCTTGATGCCCCTCGAGAGCATCTACAGGTGATGGCCACACAACCTGGTCCCACTCGGTTTTTGCAGGCATGTTGCCCGGTTGAAATTCTCACTGTTCCTCTCAGGTGCCCACCCTCCCCTTGGCCTGTCCTGTGTGACTGAAGCCTTTGGCATTCAGGACCCAGCAGTAAATACGCTGCCTCAGCCTGCCTCTCCAGAGCCATCCCATTGAGTGCCACCACCCTTGCGCCTGCCACTCTGGGCTGTATGCTTTCCTAATAGCATTTATCACTAATAGAAATGATCATAATTGTATTTAAGTGTCTTCTGTCTATCTTGTTTTCTTTATTAGAGCATACACAGCTCAGCCCCAGGCACATAGCAATCACTTGATAGGTATTTGTTGAATAAATTAAAAGTTACAACCCAGAAATACTCTATTAGAATCCTTGCAAAGCACATTCTCTTCTCTTAGGAACATTTTTGAGGTGCAAGGAGAGAGGAGGAGTCCAGAAAGCGAAGGAGAGAGCATGGCCTCTGTCAGTATTTTCAGCTGGAAGCAGAACTTTGCTGTTTAATTCACCACACCCACGGTCAAAGGGGTCCGCGGGGGGCCAACTTTTTGGCTTTACCTCTCAGCCCAGCTGTTATCCTTTTGAGTAAAGTAAGGCACACTTCCACTCTACAGGTTTCTAGTTTGTTTTTTAGTCTTCCTGAAACTTTAACTACTTTGGACAAACACACACACATAGACAAAAGCTAAGAAATACTTTTTAGCTTTTATAAAAACAAGAATGCAAGAAGTACAAATACAAAAACACTCCCTTTCACTAAACTTACATAGACATCCTTATTGGCGGCAATGTAGGAAACGTCCCTCTCTCAGGATCTAATTCAGAAAACGTTTGTGCTTCCTGTGTGCTCAGGAAGTGAGAATCTCATGGCACTTCTTGGTGTTAAGCAGGAATAAGCTCAACTCCTATTTTTGTTCCACAGCAGCCCCTTGTGCAGTGTAGATGCAGAATCTCTCTGTGTATGGGGCATGGAGGCTGCAGCCTAGGCACCGTCTGGCTCGTGGGAAGGTATGGCACTTTCTTCCTGGCTCGTATGTTTCCTCTCGGTCAGGCACTAAGGTGCATGCTGAAAACACATGGAAACGTTGCAGAAATCAAATGTTTGGATGTGTCACTGTCCTGGCAAACATGTTTAGTCTTTGGAGCCTATCCAAAATGGCCCCTTCAGAACTTTATTTTCACCTTGTCAGTATCAATCCCTACTGGAGGGTTCCTCTGCCAGCTCCTCCAAGCTACTCTGGGCTGGAACTGGCCATGACTTTTCCAGGACTTCTCTGATTAGAATCAGGGTTCCAGGGTTCTAGGCAATGTACACCTTTCCTCTTCCTCACAATATATAAGCACACACATATACATGTATATATACATATATATATATATATTTCAGGCTTTGCTGCATACTTTAGGCCAAGCACTTGCATCTTATATGGCAAATTGATTTTTATTCTGAGGTTTGCATTTTCACTCAGGCCTGACACTTTTGCAAACTTGGTTTTCCAACCGTTTCCACGTCTATGCACATGATTCATGCTTATGTACCTGCCTAATATGTACAATGTTTGCTTTTGGTGGAAATCAGGTCCAAGAGGTAAACTTTAAAACAATTTTCTCAAGTCTGATTCTCTTATACCTTTTGCCTTTACCTAGTCTATTGCATGTAGGTAGTATATCATATACACCCCAAAAGCAAGAGCAATAATTGATATTATTTGTCATGGTAGAAGAGGCAGCAATAGCAATATTATCTTTTTCAAGTAAAAAATACAGTCTGTTGCTACTTAACATTCAAATTTTTATCTTGGACAGATTTTGTGGAATTCATACAAAGGAGGAGAAGGTATTTAGATCTTTTCTTGGGGAGTAAAAGATCTTCACCTCTGTCTCTTGGTGAATAAGAATCTCATCATATAACTGTGAATAAGCGATAAGGGTGTTATAATAAAGAATTTGTCTGGTGTTTGTCCCAGAGCCCTGGCATGGAACTTCTGAAACCTTTGGAGCATCCTGAATGGGAGAACAGTCTTTGTTATTCATGAGACCCTTGGATCACTGCTGAGTTTAGACTAATGTAGTGAATCATGGGTGATGAGTGGGTGGTCTCCAGAAAGAGCAACCAGTTGAACTGAAGGTTGGGACTTGGAGCCAGAGGAACCTCCAGGGAGGGGGTGGCAGCTGGAGATTGAATTCAATCACAGTGGCCAAGGGTTTGATCAGGTATCCCTGCATGAGACCCCAGTAAAAACTCTGGACACTGATCCTCAGGGGAGCTGCTTGGCTGGTACATGGCGTGCCAGGAGAATGGTGCACCCTGATTCCACGAGGGGAGGGCGTGGCAGCTCTGTGTTTGGGGCCCTCCCAGGCCTCACTCCACTATGCCTGCATTTGGCTGGTCTTGAGTTGTAGGCATTATAATAAAACCATAATCATAAGTATAGGACTTTTCTGAGTTTTGTGCACTGTTCTGGAAAATTATCAAATCTGATAGGGTAGGGGAACTCCTGAGTTTATAGGCAGTTAGCCAGAAGTTTGGGTATCCTGGGACCCCCTGAACCTGAGCCTGGTGTGAGGCAAGGGCAGTCTTTTGGAGGATGTTGCCCTTTACTTGTGAGGTCTGTGCTAACCCCAGGTAGTCAGTGCTGGAATTAAACTGCATATAGTTGGTGTCAGAATAGAGGCAACATAGAATCTTTGAGGCAGGCTGGAAGATGGAGCTAGTCTGCATGTCTGGGTAAAGCATTTCAAGACCTTCTGAGGGAGAAAGTGTGCTTGGACAGGCTGAGCACAGCTCACTAGTGATCACACAGAAAGCCCCTTTCCCTCCTCCACACAAGATGCTGGTGTCTTTTTAAACCCACCCATATGGGGGGAGGTTGGTTTGTGTCTATGGAGGTTTTAAGAGTTTTGAATTTGAGGGTCACCACTGAGGAGCAAAAAGGTGATCGGGTGATGGGAGTAGTGAGTGTGTCTGCCTCCCACTTCTCTTTTGGGCCAGTGGAGGCCTTAGAAGAGGACCAGAGCTGCAGGACCCACTGTGATCGGGGACTGGGAACATGCACTGGTACTGAAGAGCCGGGTGGCAAGCCCCAGCAACAAGTGGGGGCGGGCCGCTCTCCCCACATGTGCGGATATGCTATTGCTCTGGCTTCTTGGAATGTGGATCCCAGGCAGCATCAAGAAGCACAGAGTAGAATCCTCACGATGAGTCTTGTCAGCAGTTGTGCACGAGATTCCTCTAGTGGCTTCAGGATTGTAAATAAACTGATGAGTGGGACCTGGAGATTCAGTGAAGCCAAAGGGGGACTGTGCCTGGTCCCCTGGTTGGAAGTGTCAATGAGACACCAGGTGGGGAAGCCTAGAAGAGCTGACAGGAGTTGTGCAAGCATGCCAGCGAAGATGGCCAGGCTGCTGTCCACGAGCATTCTGTGTGTGCGGAGGCCATGAGGCTGGTGGTGCTGGCATAGAGCAAGGTTTGAAGAATGCTGATATCTCTTGGGACTGTCACCAAATGGGGCTTAAAAACAACCTTTATTTTAACTTTCAGGCATGGTTGGATGTGCACCCCACCAGGCAATACAGGAGCCTGTGGGTAAGAGCAAAGGAGGGCTTGCAGACAGATCTGCAAGGAAAGGGAGTGCTGGGGAAGGTGATCTGACTGGTTTCAGGCCAATCTTCCTGCTGAGTGCTAGAAAACCTGGGCAAAAGTCTGTATGAAGGAACCAGAAAGCTAACGAAAGGGCCAGGAATTGAAGTCAGAACCTGGAGGGAAGGTATGCCTGAACTAGTGAGGCCCGCTTTTCATGCTGTTTACCTCTGGAGGCATCTGATGATTCTCCGGCAGCAGCTGAGAGCTGAGAGGCTGAGCCCTCTGAAGCAGCCTGTACAAGAAAGCTTTCTATAGTAACGGAAAGATTCTGTGTTCGGTGCTGTTCAGTAGGAGAGCCACTAGCCAATAAGGCTTTTGAGCACTTGAATTGGGGCTAGTACAGTTGAGGGGTTAAATTTTTAGTTTAAATTTGATACAATTTAATTAATTTAATTTTG